TGATGTGTGTGTGTGGACTGCAATGTATATATCCTCTCTAATGACCTGTACACATGCACAACAGATGAGAGCTGCCTCACGGGCGGTTACCTAGACACCCATGTGGGCTGGATAACCGGAATGATCAGCAACGTCCGCCTCCGTGACCTACCAACGTTCATCCGCACGACCGACACCAATGATGTCATGGTGACCATCAACATAAAACAGTGCGAGTTGGACGCTCCCGCCGCTGACGGCATCCTCCTCAACACCTTCGATGACCTAGAGTACACGTCGCTGGCCGCCATCCGCGAGCGTCTACCCAACACCATCACCATCGGACCACTCATCTCGCTGTCGTCCTACCTTCCATCCGTCACATCGAGTCTGTGGAAAGAGGACATTGTATGCACTTCGTGGCTGGACAAGCAGCCGGATGGCTCTGTGGTGTACGTCAACTTCGGGAGCATCACGGTCATGTCGACGGAGCAGATGGTGGAGTTTGCACGGGGGTTGGATGGCGCCGGCAGCCCGTTCCTATGGGTTGTCCGGCCAGATATGGTGCGGGATGGCAGCCTGCCTGAGGGGTTCGTGGAGGAGTTGGCGGGGAGGGGGCTCATTGTGGGGTGGTGCGACCAGGAGGCGGTTCTGGAGCACCGCGCAACTGGGGCTTTCTTGACCCATTGCGGGTGGAACTCGACGCTGGAGAGCCTACGCGCTGGTGTGCCAATGGTATGTTGGCCATTCTTCGCTGAGCAGGTGACCAACTGCAGGTACGCATGTGACGGGTGGGGTGTCGGCATTGAGATGGCGCGCCAGGCCGGGCGGGAAGAGGTGCAGGTGGCGGTGAGGGAGCTGATGGGTGACAGGGCGATGAGACGGAAGGCGGCAGAGTGGAAGGAGAAGGCAGAGAAGGCAGTCATGGCGGGTGGTTCGTCGCATGGGAACCTCGAGAGGTTCATCCAAGAGATTGCGCACGTCAAGTGATAGTAGTATATATACTATGGGAAATGATAAAGGTACAACCATATATTGACTGTGCAAATAAATTTGTGCTACATGTACATTGTATGTTCTATGTATGAGCTTTTGAATAATTAATTGTGATATTGTTGTATCTGGAAGGGATGGGAAATTAATTAGTGCTGATCCCATATGATATCTCTCCCTAATAATAAAGCACGGATTGGGTCTTCGGGTTCATCGTCGCGGCGTTTTTGCGAAAAAATCCTTATGTTTTTTCTTTATTAACCCGCAGTCCCTGTTTTAGTCAATCCGGAACGTTTCGTTTTGTAAAAAGAAAAAAAAACTGGCCATCGCGCGGAGCGCCGCTACTCCAGCCGCAGCCAGCTCCTTCTTCTCTATCCACGTCCCTCGCATCGCCCTCCTCTCCCCCGCAGCTGCTTTGCGCCATCTCCCAGCTTGCACGCGACGCGAGCTCGCACCTTCCATGGAATCAGCGCCTCCTCTCCTTCCCTCGCCGGCATGCCTCGCCCTTTGGCGCCTCCCCTCCTTCCGCACGGGCAGCGTGCTGCTGCGCCCGTCCTTTGGTGCAGCACCTCCGGCCACCACAACAACGAGCAACTCCGTCACCGTGGGCCTCCTCCTTGCCTTGCACCAGCTCCACTTGCTCGCCTTGTGTCGCCGGCCATGAGGACTCCTCCGCGAGATTTGGATGGAAAATTAGAGCGTGCTGTCCCTCCCCTGCCCTCGGCGTCAGCGGCGGATTGTGCGGCAGGGACGACGCTCCGTGGAGAGGTGAGCGCTCTTGCGTGTGAGTGCGGGCATCAGAGGTGGTTGAGGTGAGCGGCATGGGTGACCAGGCGTTGGGCGACGAGAGGAGAAGAAGGGGCGACCGGATGCACAAGGGGGCGCGAGGGAGCCGCAGCTGGGCGATGGCTGCCATGGACGGAGGCGGCATCTCGGGCATTGTGACGCGATGCACATCGGGAGAGGAGCAGAGGAAGAGCGAGGCCAACGGCGGTCCGGCGGGGTTCGTCGGCGTGTGCGGCCGGGCCGGTCGCCGGGTGGTGCGACGACGAGGCCGTGCAGCGAGGCCGCGTGGGGGATCGGGTGCAAGGCACCTCACCTCTGTGAGTGTGTGAGTGTGGCGGCGCACACGGGATCGAGAGAGATGAGAGGAATTTGGGGATCGGGATAGGGTTCCAGTGAGGGAGGCTGCCGCTGGTGATGGGCTGAGGAAAAAGGGCCTGCAAATTGCTGCTATGCATTGCTTGGGCCAAAAAGAAACACACACAGAGAGCGGTGAGGTATATGCTCTTTTATAAGAACTTAAGAACTTTGTCTAAAAAAAACTTAAAAATATTTTATTTTGGGTTGTACCAACTCAACATAAATTATTCCACGTGGAACTTATATTTACACTGCTATACAAATATAATTCCTACTATTTAGTTAAGAGGTTTAAATTGAAAATGGGTTATGGTTAATTCCAAATGAATGAAATGATTTGTTTTTAGCTACCTAATATTATTGGGAGGCTATGTTCATGAGTTATAAATAGAACCACCATGTGAATTCCCTCAATGTAAATAGATCAAAGCTCCATACAAATTATTTGTTTGAATTTCTTTTGGGTTGGCAAATTTAATAAAATTTCAAGTGAGTGTTTTTAAACAACCACATTTCAAATTAAAGCATGATGACATGACCAGCAAAAATAATATGAAACAAACATTATAGTTCAGCATATGTGGTACCGACGCAAGAGAAGCCTAAGATGCCCAGCCATGTTGCACTTATGAAAAAAAGTAAAGAATCGGGGATAAGAAAATTCCATGTTCCAAGGAAAGGTCTGGTTGACTCGGTCCTTATAGACGTTATTCCAAATTTGTATTTCGAGACCGCACGAGGCCTAAGCCGCGGCTGCCTTTATTCAGAAACAGTGTGCCCCGACGGGCCTTCACACATTGTGCATGTTCTTTTTTATGTATTGCATTTTTGACTAACCGTGTGAATCTCCTAAGTTTTCAATAGTGATAATCATGTCGTACTAAATAAAAAATAGGCATGGTTGGCAGATGCGAAGACATCGGTCGTGATAAAATGATCGGCTTTACATACATGCTCATAACAGAAATACCTTAAGTTGAAGGTTTGAGTTTTTTTTTCTCCGTTGCAACGCACGGGCCCTTTTGC